TTCCCTTCTTGGCTATTAACATTATTTTAATGAATGCATTAACTGTGTATTATGTGTGTGTGTGTGTGTGTGTGTGTGTGTGTGGTTTTTTTTTTTAACTCCCATTGTTTATTACAACAAACTCTTTGAGAGCTACTACTAGGCCTGTCTTGTTCACCACTGTATTTCTAGGGCCTACTATAGGACCAGGTACTCAATAAATATTCCCAACCACTAGAGACCAACACCCACATTTATAACTGGCCATCCTGGGTGTCTTATTATAATTCCCGCTATGTGTAGGATGTGTGCAAGAATATACCAAAGCTAGAAAGCTTAGGAACAAATCCTGGTGCTACCTACCATGAATATTACTTTAATTTCATGAACAATAAAAACCATAAGAATTATTATAGTCAATATCATAGATAAAAAATACTTCTAGAAAATAAATTTTTGATCAAAATGCATTCTTGCTTCCCTCAAGCATGGTAGAAGGTGGCACTAAACTATTATCACAGGGAAAAACAATTATTTTTTGAGTAAATAATGTCTAACAGTTTCGGAATGTGGCAATTAAAAATTGTTACCACCTGTGACAATTCCATGATATGCACAGCTCAAAAATTCTTCTGGCTGACAGTGTACAAGATATATTACCAAACCTATCAAAAGCAAATGATGAAATCAAAAATGACTAAGAATGAAGAAAATCACAAAAGAAGAGGGAAAAAGGAACCCTTTCTAAATGGGGGTAACACTTAATCAACTCTTTGAAATCAAGAGTTGGTTATTTGAAATTACACCCACCATATGATGGATCCCGTGCAGTGACAACCACTGTACCATGGGGGGTGTGTTGCTATTACCATTTTTTTCCTCAGTGAAAGTAGACTACTCCAGCTAAAAAATCACAGGATAATCTTTGCAGGAGACCTATGGAACAGACTGATAGGTCTTTCCAATATCAATTGTTACTTTCATATAATGATATAACTAAAACAACAACAAAAACTCTTACATTCTATTTTCTGGACCTTAGATAGAATGCTACAAATGGGAAATGCAAATATAGAAAAACAAATAAATTAATAAAGATATTAATGATTATACTCCATACCAAAAATAAGACTCAATAAATGCAAAAGGAAAAAAAAAAGATGGTATAGATATGTTTAATGAGACCAGGAATCATGTCCAAAAAACATTGAAGCACTGGTAAGGCCTGTGCATCAACCAATTAGAAAGAATGCTGGACACTGCAGGAACCAGGAGATGCCACTTTTCCAGGTATTAACCCTTCAATTGCTGGGCTATTAGGAGACCTAGGAAGGTCCCAGAGGAAGAGCCAGGGTAGTGGGTGGCACAGCACTTGGGGAGGGGCACTAGACCGGAGCAGTGATTATGCATTACCCAGCACTGAAGTTCCAGTAGGGGTGTTGGCCTAGTATCATCTGTGAGCCTGATACTAAAATAACCCATTAGCCCTTACCAACATTAGGGATCAGCTGACTCATTCATATATTATTATGAGAAAGCCAGGCATTTAGAAAGAGGAAATTTAGTATCTATCTGCAGTCTAAATAGGGACCTTTAATCTTCATCACATGACCAAGTATTAAAAAATATTTTCTCATCATTAATGAGAAATTAAGGGAAAAGTGGAAGAGCACCCTGTATTAGCAACCTAAAAAATGGAAGAACTTTTAAAGTTCCAAAACTGTAAGTTTCAGTGTCTTTCAGGAGTTATGATTACTGATTCCTTACTATAGTCCAGCCTAAGCACTTTATAAGATACTATTTCTGTTATTCTTTAAGAGCATCTGACAAAATAAGTAGTATTATTACCATTTTATAGAGAAAGAAATTAAAATTTAGAGAGGTTAACTACTTTGCCCAAAACTATGCAGATACTAAACAGACAAGACCTAAGCTGCAAGCCTGTGCAGGATATAACCACTGCACACCACTTCCTTCTTAGCTTTATACTAAGCCAGGCCATTTGTACCCAGGCTGGCTTAAAGGACAGCCACATTCCCTAGACTTCACTGCTGATAACATTTGAGATTACAGTTCCCCTTATGCTCTATAAACAAAACAACAACAGGTATTTTCCTCTAACATCTGCCCTGAAGCTGCTGAATAAAATATGAATACTATTATGCTTGAAAGGAACATATATACAAAGCCTATTTGAAGGTCTGGTTTAAGTTTCTGAAACACCAAAGTGTGATCAGAACCTGATGGTGGTTCTTCATGACCTTCACTAAACACTGTCCATCATAGATTGGAACTTGTGATCCACTGGGCCATTCTAAAATAATCTCAGACAGTGAATGACCACAAGCATGAGAGAGAGGCTCCATATATCACATAGAAAAATGAAAAGTAAGTTGATCCGAATTAATGGTGTCATCATTTTAAAAATTGTGTTTATTGCAAATTCATTTTTTAAATCTTACCAATTCTTGTTAATTTAGGACAGGGATTGATTAGAAATATAAAACATCCCCTTTTCTAGTATTTTGAGAGCAGGATATATAACTACTTGTTTTTTCAAAAGGATATATATACATATTTAAATATCTGAAGCAGAAATCAATGAAAAATTTCAGGATATGTGTGACAACATTCATCTCCCAAAGGCATTTGTTTAATTATTCAAAAATTGTAATGCAATTATTTTGTTGTATGAAATGAAGCAGTTTTTGAGTAAAAGTCATCTGTGTCATAAAGGACTAACAGAGTGATTTCTCAGCTCTATCAATATGGGTATTTCACAAATGGGAACCCTGTTGTCCAGCAAAGCAAGCACAAGACACTGCAGCAGCCCCTGTGGTCTGACTTATTATCTCTCATTAGAAACATTAAACATTACAGGGACTCAGGCATTTCAGAACAGAATGAGATAAAAATTTCTCACATTTTCTTACAATATACTTAAAATAAAAATCCCTTACCAGGAAATTCCAGTTGGCATCAATTTGGGTCACCATGCCAGAGAGAAACACACCCAGGAAGAGAAGGGAAAAGAAAAAAGCTGCCACGGACACAAACATGACCCATCCTTGTAGCAGAGGTAGAGGAACATTGGAGGAGGCGACCAAAATCCAGACGAGACCCCCGAACAGCTGGAAAAAAAAAGAGGGTAATAGGTTTGCTTAACACATATCTTTTGTGTGACAGAATTAAACATGCTTATAAAATCAATACACACAAATCAGAAGCTTTCATATACGCCAATAGCAGTCACACCAAGATCCAAATCAAAGACTCAATTCCCTTCACAATAGCAACAAAGAAAATAAAGTATCTAGGAATATATTTAACTAAGGAGGTAAAAGACCTCTACAGGGAGAACTATGAAACACTGAAGAAGGAAATAGCAGAGGACGTAAACAGGTGGAAAACCACACCATGTTCGTGGGTCAGCAGAATCAACATCGTTAAGATGTCTATACTACCCAAAGTGATCTACAGATTCAATGCAATCCCTATTAAAATACCAA